GTGAAGGTCATAGACGGGCCGCATTCCGGGTTCTCCGGGGAGATCAAGCACCTGTACAGGTTAGTAACGTTATTTAATGTACTAGAAATGAATATCGTAACAATGTTAAATCTGTTTAATGTTATTTAGTAGTTTTTCTCTATCCGATTTCCTAATCACAATTTCAAAACGGTCAAATGTCATTTAGTAGGTCCCGTCTGATTTCCTAACCTCAATTACGAACTATGTCAAACGTTTGTTAGTAGGTCCCATATAATTTCTTAACCTCAAATATGATATACGTCAAATGCCATAGGCATCAAATGCTATAGGCCAAGTAAATAAAATTTTTACTTGAAAAAAGTCCTATTTGCGAGATTATTGTAAAATTGTCTAAAGGAATTTTAATTGCTAACTTTTCCATTAAACAAATAAGTGAGGAAAACAGTTTTTTCACTTTGCAGGGAAAACCATAAATTTTAGCGAAAAGTGACTTGCAGACAGCTTGTAGGGAGTAAAATTATCTACAAAATGAGACAGGTTAAATTAAAATCGGTTAATAAACAAAAAAGTTATTGCAAAAAAACAAGAAAAGTGCCCATTTTTTCATTTGTTTATAACTATCGCATTTATTGTTAAAATTTTATAAAACCTACGACATGTTGAGGGTTTTGTGATACTTTAAAAGTGTGCCAAAAGTGGGCACTGTAGGTGCAATAGTTTTCGCACAATTCTATTGGTTTATAACGGAGGCTCCAAAAGTTATGAACTTTAAGCCTCTGTACAGGCGTTAACTTGCAACCAGACATGATTCTGAAAGTGTCATTGTAATCTTAAAGACGTAATTAAGCGAAATATTATAAAAAATATCACCGTTTTTTTGACATTAACATTCTCAAATTGTGCATTAAACAAGTGTGCGTTTTTCGCTTATAAACAATTTGAATAAAATTGTTGCTATTTATGCTACCTCACCGAAAATAGATTCAATGGATAGCTGTCAAAAAAAATACAAATTTTAAAAAAACAAGTACCGTCTACGACCAACAGGAGCCAAGATAAGAATTTTTTTTTTAAATCGTAGCGCAATTGTTTATAAACGTTAAGACTTGAATTTTTCGCAAAATAAAGTTTGCGACGTAAACTACGATTTCCCGTGAATTATATTGAAAAATGTGGAAAATTAACGACTCACGAGCCCTTTAAAGAGAAGGTACTCGCTAAGTAAAGTGTCTGGCGTGGTGATGGGGGAAGCTCGTCCAAGCTAGTCGCGCGCTCGAGAAAAGTGAAATCCAATGTTCAAATAGGTGCGCTCTGTAATATTTTGCAATATCTCGGCTTCTATTCATCGTAGAAGCTTCTTTTTTTTTTTAAACTGCGGTAGCTCGACGAAAAAATAACAATGGGCATATTTACGAATTCGTAGAATAGCCTTGAACCCCAGAAAAAATTCATCTTTTATACTGAATTTTTTTTAATTTACAAAAATGTCGCAAAAATTATTGTTAAACGAAATATTAATTAAAATTTCAATTTCGGAATTATTTTACTATTATTAAATAAATAATTCATTTAAAAAGTTATTCTTTTTACAAATTAAGGCAAAGTAAACTTGTATTTTCAATATTTTGTTAATTATTTAATTACGATGTAAATGTAAAATTAAAGTAAAAATTCACAAATTATTTTCAAATTATTATTTATTGTTAAAAGATTTAAAAAAGAATAAAAAGCATTTGAATTTATTGCAAAATTCTCAAAATTAAAAATAAAAAATAATAAAAATAATGCAGTCGATAAAATTAGTTTTAACTTCTTGAAATTTTAATATATAAAGTTTTTTTTTTATATTTATTACTAATTTTATACAAAAAAATTTTTGCAACATAATTCAAAAAATATTAATCAACAATTTTCAATAATAGATATAATGCAATTTAAAATTTAAAAATTTTTTTATTTTTATGAAAAATAACTAAATGAACGATATTTTCATTTATTTATTTCATTATAGTAAAATAATTCCGAAATTGAAATTTTAATTAATATTTTGTTTAACAATAATTTTTGACATTTTTATAAACTAAAAAAAAATTCATTATAAAAGATGCATTTTTGCTGGGATTCAGGGCTATTCTAGGAATTCGTAAATATGCCCATTGTTATTTTTTCGTCGAGCTACCCCGGTTTAAAAAAGAAAGAAGTTTCTACGATGAATAGAAGCCGAGATATTGCAAAATATTACAGTGCGCATCAATTTGAACTTTGGATTTCACTTTTCTCGCGCGTGACTCGCTTGGACGAGCTTCCCCCATCACCAGGCTGAACAGTTTGCTTAGCAAGTATGTACTTTCTCTTTAAAGGGCTCGTGAGTCGTTAATTTTTTACATTTTTCAATGCAATTCACAGGAAATCGTAGTTTATGTCGTAAACTTTATTTTACGAAAAATGCAAGTCTTAATGTTTATAAACAATTGCGCTACGATTTAAAAAAAAAAATTCTTATCTTGGCTCTTGTTGGTCGTAGACGGTACTTGTTTTTTTAAAATTTGTATTTTTTTGCCAGCTATCCATTGAATCTATTTTCGGTGAGATAGCATAAATAGCAACAATTTTATTCAAATTGTTTATAAGCGAAAAACGCACACTTGTTTAATGCACAATTTGAGAATGTTAATGTCAAAAAAACGGTGATATTTTTNAAGTTAGCTTATAAAAGTTTTTGACTCACGAGATGAGAGATGTCTTGTATTATGTTCCTTCAGACAATTTTACGATAATATAGCGGATAGGATTTTTTTCGAATTTATCTTTTATTTCCGCTAATTTTCCTGGTGTACTAGTAAGTCCCATCTAATTTCTTAAATATACATTAGGATGTCGTTTCTGTCTGAATTATCAACCTCAGTTCCGAATCTTTCTTAAAATAGTTAACTTCTGAACCCTTCAAAAAATGTAAACTATGAAAAAATTAAGACAAGAAATTTATACTTGGAATATTAAAATAGAGACTGTCCCTTTTAAAAGGCGTGTTTCTATGCTTTAGGAATTTCGCGTTTCTACATTCGGTCGAATTCCTGCAAAACGGCGGCATCTTCGTCTGCAAAACCAAACACCTGCAGCTGGCGGGCGGGAACAAGACCGTCCCCAGCGCCGACATATCCACCGGGATGGAGTTCATGTCGCCCAGGAGGGCGTCGCCGATGCACCCGTCCAGTGGCGGTGGTGGAGGTAGAATGAAAAATTTCGCACGCAAGGGTTTAGGAGTCATAACTTCTCGTTTTCAGTTGTCGGCGGCTTTGGAGGCGGCGGTGGTGGAGGAAGAGGGGGCGGGGCAGGCCGGGGAAGGGTCGCCCGTGACAGGGACATCATCGGCACCACCATCAAGATCACCCGAGGCCCGTACAAGGGCAATATTGGTATCGTGAAGGACGCTACACAATCCACCGCCAGGATAGAGCTTCACACGTCCTGTCAGACGATATCGGTGGACCGTAACCATATCGCGGATGTTGGTAAGTCTTTAATAATAATAATGTACGTATTTTATTGGGTGTCCTTCGATAAGTATTCCAACGTGCAGTTACGTCTAATATTGTTAAATAACAGTGTACGTTTCCGGTAAATACAATTTTTCGCTATATTTGAGGTTATGTTACAACAGAAGTAATTTCAAAACCCCAGAAATTTTTTTGTGTAATGTAAAAGTGTCGGGAACATTGTTTAATCCTTTTTATGTTCTCAGGCACTCCCGCGAAGGACGGAAGCGCCTCCAGCTACGGAAGGACCCCGGCGTACGCGGGCAACCAAACGCCCCTGTACCGAGACACCGGAAACAAAACGCCCATGTGCGATTCCGGCTCGCGTACTCCCTTGCATTACGGTTCGATGACGCCCATCCACGACGGCTCCAGGACCCCCAACGCCAGTTCCGAGTGGGATCCCGCTGTTTCTAACACCTACCCGTCGCCCGGATACAATCCAAGTAAGTTAACGTCGACTTTGGTACAAAAAATGTGTTATATTTATGTTTCTGAATGTTTCAGGTACTCCCGGTTTCCAGATGAACGGCCCGTACACCCCTCAGACTCCCGGAACGATGTACGACACGACCTACAGTCCCTACCAGGCCAGTCCTGGGTACCAGAGCGTCGTTTCAACGCCTAGTCCCGCCACGGGGTATGGGCAGTCGCCCTCCAGTAATAACCCGTACAACACGCCCAGCTCCGGGTACAGCCCCAACATGCCGTACAACCCACAGACTCCCGGCGCCAATTTGGACGTGTTGCCGATGACCGACTGGCATACCGTTGATATTGAGGTAGATCTTTTTTTTGTTTGTCGTACTTTTCAGTCGTTATCGTTTGATATTGTGTCAGTTTTTTCCATTTTATTCCTCAAAAACTGCTGAAATGGAATATAAAGTAGTTCAAATGTACCAACTGCAGAAACGAGCAGTGTTGCATTTATTTTGTCGTTGAATATCGGATCAGTTAGAAGTGACAAAGTATGAAAAAGGGAATACATTTCTAGTAGTACAAATGTGAATTTTTTTTTCATTTAATTCCTCAAAAATTGTTGAAAAGGAACTAATTAATATAAAGTAGGTCAATTGTACCAACTACCGAAACGAGCAAAGTTTGCATCTGTTTTGTCGTTGAATATCGGATCAGTTAGAAGTCACAAAGTATGAAAAAGTGAATACATTTCTAGTTGTACAAATTCATATGTGAACTTTTTTTTCATTTTACTTCTTGAAAAAGTACATAATTTAGTTGTATAAACTTAGTAACGAATTTTTTTCATTTAATTCCTCAAAAATTGTTGAAAAGGAACTAATTAATATAAAGTAGGTCAAATGTACCAACTACCGAAACGAGCGAAGTATTGCATTTGTTTTGTCGTTGAATATCGGATCAGTTAGAAGTCACAAAGTATGAAAAAGTGAACACATTTCTAGTTGTACAAATTCATGTGATATTTTTTTCCATATTATTCCTCGAAAAAGTATATATTCAGTTGTATAAATTTAGTTAAGAATTTTATTTATTTAATTCCTCAAAAATTGTTGAAAAGGAACTAATTAATATAAAGTAGATCAAATGTACCAATTACAGAAATGAGCAAAGTGTTGCATTTGTTTTACCGTTGAATATTGGATCAGTTTGAAGTCACAAAGTATGAAAAAGTGAATACATTTCTAGTTGTACAAATTCGTATGTGAATTTTTTTTTCCATTTTATTCCTCGAAAAAGAATATAATTCAGTTGTATAAATTTAGTTACGAATTTTTTCATTTAATTCCTCAAAAATTGTTGAAAAGGAACTAATATAAAGTAGGTCAATTGTACAAACTACAGAAACAAACAGTGTTGTATTTGTTTTGTCGTTGAATATCGGATCAGTTAGAAGTCACAATGTATGAAAAAGTGAATACATTTTAAGTGCACTAATTCATATGTGAAACTTTTTTTGTTTTGCATTTAATTCCTCGAAAAAATATATAATTCAGTTGTATAAATTTAGTTACGAATTTTTTCCATTAAATTCCTCAAAAATTGTTGAAAAGGAACTAATTAATATAAAGTAGGTCAAATGTACCAACTACAGAAACGAGCAAAGTGTTGCATTTGTTTTGTCGTTGAATATCGGATTAGTTTGAAGTCACAAAGTACGAAAAAGTGAATACATTTTTAGTTGTAGAAATTCATATGAAATTTTTTTTGCATTTTATTCCTCAAAAACTGCTGAACTAGGTCAAATGTACCAACTACAGAAACGAGCAAAATGTTGCATTTGTTTTGTCGTTGAATATCGGATCAGTTTGAAGTCACAAAGTACGAAAAAAGTGAATACATTTTTAGTTGTACAAATTCATGAAATTTTTTTTTCCATTGTATTCCTCGAAAAAGTATATACTTAATTCAGTTGTATAAATTTAGTTATGAATTTTTTTCATTTAATTCCTTAAAAATTGTTGAAAATGAACTAATTAATATAAAGTAGGTCAAATGTACCAACTACAGAAACAAGCAGTGTTGTATTTGTTTTGTCATTGAATATCGGATCAGTTAGAAGTCACAACGTATGAAAAAGTGAATACATTTTAGTTGCACTAATTCATATGTGAAACTTTTTTTGTTTTGCATTTAATACCTCGAAAAAGTATATAATTCAGTTGTATAAATTTAGTTACGAATTTTTTCCATTTAATTACTCAAAAATTGTTGAAAAGGAACTAATTAATATAAAGTAGGTCAAATGTACCAACTACAGAAACGAGCAGTGTCGCATTTGTTTTGTCGTTGAATATCAGATCAGTTTGAAGTCACAAAGTACGAAAAAGTGAATACATTTTTAGTTGTACAAATTCATATGAAATTTTTTTTCCATTGTATTTCTCGAAAAAGTATATACTTAATTCAGTTGTATAAATTTAGTTATGAATTTTTTTATTTAATTCCTCAAAAATTGTTGAAAATGAACTAATTAATATAAAGTAGGTCAAATGTACCAAC